TAATAAACATGAAGTTCTTGAATATGTCAGACTGCCTTCATGTTAGTTCTACTGTTGAGTGGTGTTTAAATTTTAATGCAACTCATTCATTATTACTGCTACAACCATACTGTTTTCCTCTTCTCTTTATATTACTGCAACATAGTTAATCCATCACTCCAGAATATCATCCCCCAAATGAAGTCGTATACCATGGTTGCTTCTTATTGACTATCTCATTGACTCCCAAAGTTGAGGAGAGAACCCCAATGATGGTCCTTGATCAACCAATATGGGGTCTTGAGATCCACAAAAAAACAACTAAACAATAGATAACTATGTTAAAGGTATATTGGAGGATCTATGCAAACTTTTGAAAAGACCCACCCGCTCCAGAAAAATTTTGTACATGCACAACCCTGCACAACCCTGTACCCGCTCCCGAGAGGGAATGCCTATTAAATGCATGTGAGAGCGTGCACGAGCACATTTCTCCTCGTGCACGCTCTGTATAAAAGTTGCCATTTGCATTGCTCATACAAGCTTACTTTCCAAAAGAAGATTTGCAGTTTTTCCATAATGTCAGACTCACCATGGGTAAGTGAAAATGTTGACGTAGGACGGCATTACGTGATCATATCACCAGAATGATTGACAATTAGTAGGACCCCTTATTTTGACGATCCACCCAGAAAAAGAACATCCACCACTACACCTTTAAAATGTTTAAAGGTATCAAATCTTCACTTAATAAATGTGCAACATCAATTACTTTGGTTGTTGATGCTTGCTTTTAATATAACTACACCTTGCGTTAATTGATTGGTGGAAATGTTTGCATTTTCAACCAACAGTTGGGGTCATCAATCAACTCTGGTGACATTTTCTCGGTTAAGAAGCTGAAAAGTTTGAGAACCTCTGTTTCAAAGAGCTGATGATGTTTGAAACCCTATAAACTCATATTCTGCCTTGTCGTGATGAAGTCTAAAACATCCCCTCATCATGGTCGGATTAGGCACTTCTGTGACGACAAAATTAGCAAGACCTAAAAGGGAAAAAATAAATAATGCATTGGAATATTTAACTTCTGGAGAATAAATAATAAATAGAAGTTGCAATCTGCGTAGTAGATCAATCTTGATTACATAAGGTTCGATATGCAGCAGCTTCCCAGTTTGATGCTGCATTTTGCTTTAAAGTTATCAATGATGTAATGAAGGAGAACTCGGAGTGCTTCAGGTCTTTTCAGAGTTATGTATTTCTATTCAGAGTGTGAGGAGAAATTAGTTAGTTCATCCATATTTCTCTTCAAAAGCATTATGGAGGCTCTTTGGTTTAAGCAATTATCAAACCTAATTCCTAATTTGTGTCGTTCTTCATTTTTAATTAGCTTACCATTAGCCTATCATTAACACTATTTAATTAGGAGGTACACATTCACTAATGTTTAAGCAGCTCCAAGTTCCTCATTTGTTTCTAATTTGTTTTCTTAAATAGTTTACAATGGACTGTCTCTCCTTATTTTTCTACAGATACAGATGATTTTATAACACCTTATTGGAACATGAAACTCACAGATGACACACTGGTTAAGCTCTATGAAAGCATGTCTGTTTTAGGATGGAATCCCCTCTGTATATTGGAAAAAACTTTAGCCTCTTTTTGTATTTTTAGAGAAAAAGTTCCAGCCTACAGATACTTTATTATTAAAGAAAACCTTATTTCTTTTACATTTGAATCTAAGCTTTAGTGTATTTTACTTGGATATTATGTAAAAGACCATAAACAAGATGATAACTGTGAAAAAAAAAATATATATTTTTTTTACTTTTATCTAAGCTAGAGATGTATGATGTTTTGGTACCGATATTTGATACCATTGTTTATTTATTTGAACATCTAGGTATTGGTCCGATAACTAAAACAATGTTTATTTTCATGTATTCATGGTTTTTGTTTCAGTAGAAAGAGAGGAGGGAATCGGTCATGTGTGGTTTGTTTGTGATGCAGCTCAGGAGTGTAGGAGTTTAACTTATAGGTATGGTGAAGGATTTTCGCGATTTTTGGAAAAGACCCACCCTCTCCACTTTAAAAAAAAAAGCATATGCACAACCCAGTACCCACTCCCGTGAGAGAACGCCAGGTCTAATCGTAGCCCTTTTGCAGAAGCGCTCCCTCGGTGAAGGCCCGCTGGCTTTGATGGCCAGTTTTTGCTTTATTTGGCAAAAAGTTCATTTGATTTGTGTTTATTTTACTATATTAACTATTATTCCCCCAATAAATGAAAAAAGTAAGAATTTATTATTATCTAGAGACTATCAATAACCGGAGGTGGCTTTGATCACTGATTTCTTTTTTTTTTTTTAAAGCAAATGTTGTATCACAAGAATACATATAAGCTTACTTTCCAAAAGCAGATTTAAAAATTTTCCCCTGTATCAGACTTACCACTAGTGTTGCACCGATGCTATTTTTTGGCACCTGTTACCGACACCCGAGACCTGATACCTGGCTGTGCAGTATCGCCAATACCAATACCATCTGTTTGAAATTGATGTGTGTGTGTATATATGAAGAACTGCATACTATTTGGATGTAAAATAATTGCAGCTTTGTCAAGCTGCTGCCTACCTTTGTGAAACAGGAAAAAGACTAATACAATGTCATTCCAGTAGAACTTTTATTTCCTACCTGGAATGGGTGTGTTAAGTGGGGGTGGAGTTTTGAAATGCAGACTGAAACTGAAGGTGGTTACTTCAAGATTTTTTATCCAAAAAGTTAAACAGAAGCAAAAATCCAAAAACATAAATCCACAAAAATCCAAAAATGCTGACAACAAGGAATACTCAAAACAAGAAGAGGACAAAGTAATACGACAGAATGACTGAACAGGAGGAGAATAAATGTGAGAGAGAAACAAAGACCAGGCTAATTAGCAGATTGGGAGCAGGTGTGAACAGAGGCAAGAAGAGAGCTAGGAAAAAGGAGACTGACACAAGAGCGCTAACAAGAAATATATAAGAACTAAAATACAATACTAAAAATGACTAGAACACAAGAATGAAAATAAGACCAGAGAAAACTTGAACAGAACCAAAACCATGTCAGGGTGACAATAGTTGAATAAACTTTTGGCTCTCAAAATGGTATCGGTGCAATAATTGTCGGTACTCACCAATACCGATACCACCATTTTAGTGCTGGATCAGGGCCCTGCCCAATACTGGTATCGGTATCGGTGCAACACTACTTACCACCGGTAAGTAAAAATGGGGATGAGTACAATGGACGGCCTTATATAAACGTATCACCAGAATGATTGACAATTAGGAGGACCTCTAATTTTGATGATACACCCAGAAAAAGAACATCCTCCACTATACCTTTAAGCAAAGAGCTAGTGTCATCACTGTGGTTGATCTGTCAAGGTGTCCAAACGGTGGGGTAATATCTGATTTATGATGTTAGGAAATATCGGTTATCTGCCATAATGGTGATATTAATATTGGACGTCGATATCAGCCCAAATTTTCTTAACGGTGCATCCCCATTAAAAACATAAAAAACACAAAACACAGTGCTGACCTGACAGGCTTTGCATGAAGATCATTGATCCGAGCATTAATGCCTGATTGCATACTTTGTCAGGACTCTCTCTGTGTAAATGATTTCCTTTTTAATGGGTGTTTTTTTACTGTGACGTTTTCTTCTGTGTAGCAGTGTAACAGGAGGTTTTAAGTGGAGGAGTTTTTTTTTTGTTTGTTTTCTTTTGATGGGTAGCTTTTGAGTTGGGTTTGTGCTGGAAAATGTCCAATCTTGCGACCCTGGGTGAGGACCGTTTTATGATTTGCGGTTGGTGTTACCAATGGCTTATCGTTAGCAGAGTCAATATTTTATTTAGCTGAACATGCATAAGTGAAGTCAGCTTATGGATGAGTTGTGCCCCACTGCTAGCATGAGGGACAGAAATCGGGGTCTGGGAGGGTAAAGGGGGGACACTCAGAATAAAATATGGGTTAGCAATAGTGGAAATCAATATGCATTCATGCAAAATGCTTTAGTTAAAAAAAAATACTTTACATTGATTGAATGCACAATCTCCACAGTGTTATATAGTTGAGGGAAGAATCATGCTATTGCAATTTGACTACAGAGTTGGCAGGAAGAACCAGTGTTACTCAACAAAAAAAAAAAAGAAAACCAGTTAAAGGATTTGTCTGACTTGAGAATGAGGTGGAGGTTCACCTGCCAGCAGAACAACAACCCAGACAACGTAGCTAAGGCTGCAATGGATATCAATATCCTTGTGATATCAGTTTGCCTCCAGACCTAATGCAGCAAGAGTAGAAATGCATTACTTTTTTTTTTATTAAGAAATCCTATTAAAGTTAGTTGGCAAAACTGAATTAGCAAAAATTCAGTGTCTATTTGTGCAAACCTGGTAGAGATACTATCAATAGTCAGATATGTATTTTTTTCCTTTAACTTTGTAAGGTGCGGTGTCCTCACAAAATGTGCAAAGGTTGAAAAAGTAGGGATACCTTTGCTGGGCCCTCAGCTCGACCAATTAAAAGAAGGTAGTAAATGATGCGTTACCAGTGTCACATCTAGCCTCCTCTCTGTTTCAGCGTGTCTCATGTCTGACGGTGCCACACCTGTTAAATTGTTCCTGTTGGGTCTGTTGGGCTTCAGTCACGCTCGCTGTGCTTTTTAATTATTGCTGCAAACACCGATACCCAGAGTCCACTTTACACAGCAGTTCCATGCAAAACCCGTCCTTTAAACACACTAAGGAATAATAGATGATTTGTATGATTAGTGATTGTCCAAGAAAGTGACACTTTTTTTTGTGCTTACTCAGAGATTCACAGCCCTGCTGTGGAGCTTTCGCTGTGATTTATAACCCATGGCTGTTCAGCTGTCATATCTCCTGCGTGTATTTCCTTTTTATCTGTGCTACACATCATGAACCGAGCTGTTAGGTTTATGGGCTCTTTAACTACCCCACTGTTACATCTTATTGGATTCATTTGTCTTTTTAGGCCGGGTTAAGGCTTCACCCTGGCGTTATTGCATCGGTGATCCTGGTCTGTGTGGCGGCACTCGCTGCTGCTGTATTGATCATCCGAAAATACTGCTTCCCAGTCAAGTAAGCAGGCCTGATTAATGAGCCGTGGCGTGATTATTTTAAACCATTAACGCAGGAGAAACTAATCAGCCTCTTCTGTCACGTAACTTTATTCCAGCGAAGCAACATACAGATACTCTGTGCTGAGGAGCATGGAGGACCAGGAGTCGGCGGTGACAGTGGAAGATGGCGACAGGGGGCCTTCCACAGTGGGAGAGGAGTCAGACGAGGTCAGTGCATCTTGGCATCTCTGACTCTAGCCTTCACTCTCCCGTCCCCAAGCGCAAGTCAACACAGCCATAACCTTCCTCATTTCATGCAGCCTCTTCTTTTTATTTTGCGACAGGAGCTACTGGAATAAATCTCCAACTGGGACGCAGCCGGACTGACTGGAAAATAGTTCATCATCGACGGATTGTGTGGCACAAAGGCCTGCAGCAGACAATTCTTGACAGAAGATTTTTAGGACTGGTTTTACTTCCTACTGCTCATCCTAAAATGTTATATTTAATACGCTGTCAGATAAGACTATGTTACAAACTCTCACATTTGGGAAGCTGGAACCACAAAGTATTTTTATTTTAACTGATGATTTAACTCAGGTCAGTTAATTTTGACTAACACCCTTTGATTGATCTACAGAGGATCAGATAATAGACTTGATTCACCTGCCCTGTGGACTCATTCATTTAAATTCGCCTCAGACTTTTATCTTTTGTTTGATCTGCGGTATTGATCCTCAGCTGCTTCGTAGATTCCCACGAGTTGAGTCAGTTTCTATCAGCGAACAGATACAGTTAAAGTTGACGTCTTTGAAGTGACACGAGCTGTCGATAAGCATTAATCTTTGACCTTGTTTTTACCTCCGGCTACTGTTGGACCTTCTGATAGGTGAAGGTTGTACCTGCAGGCATTACCCAGGGCTTAAAGAAGCTAAAGGAGCCATTGTCAGTATTCATCTAAAATGTGCAACAATAGAACATAAATGAAATATTCATTAATGTAGGTGGCAGAGAAGATGGGCAAAGTATCAGACAGCATGTTTGTGAGTTTATTCTGCAGCGATTTAGATGGAATATATATTATTTTTTATGGTTTATCTACAGATTCCTTTAACCTTTGCACATTGTGAGGGGGCTGCTTAAGACAAGGCTACCCTTTTTCTACTTAGAGGGAAAGGAATTTCTCTCTGAACTGATTTTTTTTTCTCTTTTCAAATAAAAATCTCTGCCTATTGACTGAGGAATTTATTTTTTATTCATCTTCAGAGCTATAGGAATGCGTTTTCATTGCCTTTTGTACTGTCACACCAAACTGTTTATATGAGATACATGTAGCTACTGTGACAACATCCCTGCTTTTCAAACCGATATATTTAATCCTTCAGATGTGAGAGTGTAAAAAAACAGACAGTATGATGGTCTAAATGGTATTTAATTTTAGGATTCATAAATATTTGGCCTTAAGCACACTAGTGAGCTAAGGATGTTAAATATGTTATATGTGTTATTTTTCTTAAATATACCTAACATGCTTCTATTAAATTCAAAAGTACTTTATTAATCCCAAAGGGAAGTTAGATAATTAAATTTTTAAGTCCAAAGCATCTTTTTCTTTTGCCATACTTGCTATCTAATTATTAGCTGACGTCTCCTATGATAGTTTGATTGTAAAAGAATTACAAGATGGATGCTGGGTCTTTGCGTTCTGCTCCTTTATTTTCAGGACACATAGCCTTCCTCCTCTTTGATTTATTGCACTGGTAAACAGATGGCCAAAACATACCTACCAGCTCTGTTAAACCAGAGAAGGTGTTGTCAGAATCAAGATTTGTGGTAGACTATATCAACTGCAAGTCCTCCATTCAAAGTATTCATAAATACCTTTTATCAATTTTTAGTCAGTAATCAACATTTAAAAGCTCATGCCTAAAGAATGCCTTCCATAAATTTAGAAGAAAATGTTTTGTTGCAGTATATAAAAGAAGATGCCATTCGTTGAATGGCTTTATATCTGAAGCAGTAATATTGTAGAAGCAGCTCCCATCAGTGGGATAACACTTTAAGTCCCTTTTGTTGTCCCTTCACGTCTATCTATCTCTTATATAAATTCAGAAGGCACACCCCCGTTTGCACACCTCCAGTCTAAGAAAAGCGGACAGGATTACCTGCATGGCCACAAAGCAATTTTCTGCTGTGAATGGGGGTCAAACCCAAAGCGTGCTTCATTCACTTAAATCACTACAACCTCTTACTACATATAAGTGTTTTAAATTTGAGCATGCTAAATAACTTCTTTTTTTTTTTTCCACATTTCACCTTCAGAAAAAAAATAAGGACATTGACTCCTTATTTATCCTAGAGATGGAACAATCATGTAACTGGTTAAAAAGGCTCATTATAATCAGCTATAAGAGTATGCAACATTTAGACTGTTTTCACAGTTTCAGGGGAAGGCAGCTGTTATATTGCTCTCTTCAAAGCCACAGACTGCTTTGAAAAAGTGATAATTTTACCTCACAGATCACATGGTTTGCTCTCCACAGAGGGAATCAATCTTGAAATCTAAGCCATTGTGTTGAGAATCTGATTTGGTTTTAACACAAATGTTCTGTAAATGATGGTGGCATACGTATCTTACCCAGTATGTAGCTCAGCATAACATTATTTTGTTGTTTTTATCAATAGAACATTGAAGCCCTAAGGTCCTTGTAGATAAATTATGCTTAAGAGGTACAGTGGAAAAAATGAATGATGAAAGAGATGACGTTTTGCTTCATGGATGGGTTTCTAGTTAGAAGGCTTACATGATTTTTCCCCATTACCACTCAGCAATTCACACATGGAAGCAGCAAGAAATTGAAACAAATAAAGTCACATATGTTGGATAAAATGCAGTGACAAAAAGAAACATATTGAACCTGTTTACTGAAATGTAGTGAATACTTCTCATTTGGAAATGACAATTTCCAGACAAACTATTATTTCATGCAAACTGTTGTTTATATTCTTCTGGCTTTCTCCATTCTCTCTGATTTTAAGGTTACTTCAATTTATTTACAATCGCATTCAAGTTGAGTGGTTGACCATGTCAATCTAGCATCTTTATTTTCTTTCTCTGACCTCTATGTTCGAGGTCAATGCCGTATTGAAAAAAACATCCTTTAAATTGTTTTTTTATGCCATTTGTTTTCCAAGCATATTCACACTGGCTTGAAAAGAGCTAAATCTGGTCTTATTTGACAAGAATTTATCATCCAAATGTTCGGCAGCATATTTAAACAAGCTTCAAAATGTCAAGGAATTGGGTTTGAGTGTATTGAATGATAAAAAAGGTATTCCAGGTAGAATACAAATGGTCCTTGACTCTTGAACAACTCTATAGATTATTATTTCATCCCCCGTTTCATCTTGTGAGGAACTTCTTGTTCTGGGTGCGGTGAAATTTTATTCTCTCCAGTTCAGGAAATCCAGCTTCAGAGATGCTCACTGGATCAATTAGACGTTTAGAAACATGTCTGTAACCAGTGTCAGGATTATGTTTTGCAATAATAGAAATTCAAAGATCTTGTGTGAATCTTTGCTTATATACATAAAGAAATGCTTTCGTGATAATTTTCTTAATTGGAAACCTTTTGTAAATGTTCTTTTGGGAACAAACCTGCTGGTAATGGGAGCTGGGCTGCTTTCTAAAAGCAGGAAGATTTGAGCTATTTACTTGTCACTTTGCAGCTTTTTCTGTCCCATTTCCTTAATAACTATTTTCAATACCTCTTCCATCTCCTATTCCACGTAATTGCACATTACTTAATTTGGTTTGATTTCGTTGTATGTAGGAACTATTTGAGTTATTTCTGATGTATGGTGTGAAGCATTTAAAAATGTCGAAATATTTATTTTTTTAGCACTCCTATTACTCTTTATAAATTGACCTCTGTCATGAAGAACAACACCGGCTTTGCTGGTTAAACCCTTTTTTTGACTGACCCTGACTGTTTTGAGACCAAATTATAAAATGCAAAATATTAAAAAAAGGAAAACAGATTTTGTATCATACAAAACTTCTAATTTAAATACAGTAAAATGTGTCTTGTAAATGAATCGATTTGATTTTGCTGCTGGTCTGATAAATGCTGTTAATTCGTAAGCTGAGCATTTTAAATTCCCACATTGCTGAAAATCATCAGTGTATAACTTCCATCGTAAATTAAATTAGCATCTCTCACAAACCATCACATCGATATTGGATCTTTTAGATTGTCTTTTGTTAATTTAAAACAAGCTAAATGAACTGCAGCTAGAAATAGCTGCATTAAGAGGTGATCATCCACCAGCTGGCCAATTCCCCTTTGAAAGGATTTCTTCTTTCATTAATCCAGTTAAAGTCAATTTTCTGCAAAGCTCTAAGTCCATCTCTGACTTTTAAATGAGCATCAGTATTTTGCATAACATTACACCTTATCCAACCAAAAAGAGGGGGAAAAAAGCCATTGCACCTGTCGGGGAGTTTTGAGCAAACACGGTGATGTGGTGAATGTCACAGGATGCCATTGGCACTTCATAATGAGAGATTAATCAGAAATGACTTCACTGTGATTTCCTTTTTTTTTTTTCGCTCATTGTCCATCCCTGCAATAAAACAAGAAACAAACAAATTAGGAAATGAAACCAGAATGAGGTCTTCTGTCTCTGTTTGTGTTGTTCTGTTGTAAATCATTGTAATGATGTAAATACTGAATGTTTCTATATTTGAGTGAATTATTTGTGAAATATAGTAATGCATCGTTTATTAAACATATTTATCTTTTCAACTGTGTATGGCATGTTGTTCTTTGTCTTTTTTTTACATGAGTTATGTGGTTTAGATGAAAGTAATCCAAATGTTTATAGTAATGATTATGAATTTTATTGCTCACTTTGTTAATAAGCTATTCAACTGCTGTTATTTGCTTCTCAAATTCTAATTTGAATTTGAAATGAATGATCTCAATCCACAGTTTTATGGGCTTTAAATCTGAAAGCATTGAGTGCCCCTCTAATAGTGTGGTAGTACACAAGGGCCCTCCTCTGGTTATCTTTGGTATGGCATCTTAATTAGGTCTAATTTTTATTTTATGATATAAAGTTAAATTATAAATTAAAATGTTATCATTGCAGGCAGCAACTTGATTAAGCGAGGGAACCTGAAACCAGGAAGATAAATTAAATGAAGGCTGTACTCTTGGTGCCTCCCTATGAGCCCAGTTTTACCCTCTTGGGATGGTACTGGGGATTATTCTACAGATTAATATTTGGAATAAAAATAGCTTTAAAACAAAATTGCAAAATTCTTCAGAGTCACTGGTCTGACATTTCTTATCTCAAATTCCTGTATTAGGATAGTAGATAATATAAAAAAATAAGTCCAGGCAGCCTAAGCATTAAATACAATTCAACTGAACTGTTTTGATCAAGGCTGCATGGAGGCACAGCTTATAGCTCTGTTGTCTTTCAGCAAAATGTTCTGGGTTCAAATACCAGCCCAGGGTCTTCCTCCATGCTGTTTGCATGTTAACCTTGTGCACATTTAGGTTCTCTCCGATACTCCATGCCTCCATCCCATCATTTGTGCCTGTGCATTTTCCTTAGGTGTGAGTGCATGGTTGTCTGTCTGTGTTGCCCTGTGACGGTCTGCCGACCTGTCCAGGGTGCACCCTGCCTTTCTGCTGGAGAAAGGCAAAAGCCCCACTGCGACTCTGAAGAAGCTGAAGATGGATGGATGCTTTGATTAAGACTTGTAAACACTTCATGAGTTAATGATGTGATTCAGTCTTCTTTCTTGTGATTTATCACCATTTACAGCTTATATATCCGCATCCCTGGTAATGATAGGTAAAAAAATAAAACATTTTGTATTTATTTTCACCTGTTTTTTTTTTCTTCTATTTTTGTTGATTTTAATGATTTAGGAAAGGGCTGCCAAAGAAGCTACATGGCTACATTCATCATATCTCTGCTGATATACTGTGATACTTTAAACGTTTTGAATGCTATAAATGGTTGTTAAAAGGCTGGTATGGACATTTGTTTATGACAAAAGGATCACCAAGGGGATGAAAATGAATTAGAAAGCTAACCGTTAATGAGTGATAGAAAAATCTCCATTAATCACTACTGTAATCTTATATTATATATGGGGTTTGTGGCTGAATATAGTCATGTACACATTCTGGTAATTTGTCACCAGTAGCTATGTTTTTTTTTTAATAAGGTCAGCATTAATGCATTGCTTAGCATATAGTACAGGGGACTGCAAAAAAACACATAACATATAGGATTTTTTAACAAAAAAAATGTTTTTTTTGTGATTTCATGTTGATCATCATGTGTCTGAAATGCTTGTATATCTTTACATAAACATCTGAAAGTTGTGAACATTCATCTCCCCAGTGTTGGTAGGATAGAGCTCACATTTTTAAACATACAAGCCAGTATGGTTCACCACACTGTGTCTTTATTGACACCAAGCAAGAGTATTAGGACTACAACAATAGACACATGATTAATTTTGCTGCTGTTTAAGCCACACACTTAAAATACAGAATTAATGAAAAAGTTTTATTATGAGCAGATTGGAGATTGCTTTCCAATCGCTTCACGTGTTTTCTGTTTTCTTTTTTCTTTTTTTCTTTAGAAAGATGTTGACTGTCAGTGTTTTTGTGAAAACATCGTACTCCACATCTGCACACAATGTCGTTTTCTTTCTCTCTGTGTTTTTATAGTTTTTGTTCCAATGTTCTGCCATCTGTGCATAACTTTCTGTGCACAGCCATCTGTAGATGCAGCTTTTTTATTTACATTTCGGTGTTGTCATTCGTATTTCTTTTGAAATCCCATTTGAAATGATCTTATGTTTTTGCTTTTTTACAGAAAAAGATAGAGTCCAGCTGCGTTATCTATTTATCTTTATTTGTTTAGAAGATCACTCCCCAGAGCTCAGGATTATTATAAGGTCAGCAGGAAGATGAAAGGTCTGGAACCTTTCCTTTAAGGGATTTGCAGAGGCTGTCACCAGAAAGTCTGGGGTCAAGTTCTAAGTGATTTGAACAAATATGTATTCTAACTACAGATTAATAATAGTTTAAAAAAAATTGGATATGCAACTCAAAATGAAGATGTATTAGGCTAAATAGGCAAAATATAGAAAGAGAACTTTTAAAAGCTACTGTACAAAAAATTACAATTTCCTGTTTATGCTATCTAATTCCATTAATGTATTATGAGGCACTTAATGTGAAAAAAGTAACTTATGTACATATATATCATTAGATAAGTCCAACTATTTTGAACAACTCACATTTAGTTGCACACATTCCAGTTTAATCCTGGTATGTGGAAGCATGAAAGCTCTATTACAAATTATCCTTGTTGAAAGGTGTTTTGTTTTTCTATCACATGCATGATCTGTTATTGCCCTTTATATTTCCTTTGTTAGGATTTTATAGTCAAAGCTTGTTAAAATATAAATACTCTAATATCAACTTTTACTTTATACACTATGAATAGTTTTTTATTATTTCAGATACCTTAGTGTGTAAAAAATACTTTTTTTAAGCCTTTATGTTTTGGGCTAAGTAAGCCAAACAAAAGTTGATTATCCCCTAAGGTTATTAGACTTTGGTCATAAGACTTTATTTATCATTTTGTCCATATCCCTTGACCTACATATTGCCATTTGTGTCTGCTTAACTACCACCTGGTTTGTGTTCACTATATAACTGCTGTTAATGTTGATTTAATTAGGATTTAACGGACTCTTTTTTTTTTCTTTGAAGGAAGATGTCCAAAATGTTTCATTCAAAAGCCAGGTCCTAAATCACTGGTATTAAAGCCCAAATTTTGTTTCAAATCTTTTATGAAGTCAGGAGATTGACTCTATAGTCATTTAATGTGTTTCACTAGATTGAGTTTAGTCCAAGTCATGTGACTTGAGTCCACATATCTTGGGAACTGAAGCAATCAAAAGCGTAATAACCTGCCAATAACTTACTACGCTTCCAGGGTGAGTAAGGTGATAACATTTTCCCAATAATGTAGTATGTTATTGCCTTTTTTTGTATTGTAAGGATTGTTTGAAAATACTGCTAAAGCTTCTGTGTAACACATGAAGACCACATGTTCTGTTATTTAAGTCTAGCACATTTCAGTGAACCAAATACCAAATGTATTTCATATTACTTCTTAAATTAGATCATGGATTCAAATATATGAACATCTTAAAAACATTCTAAATAAAGATTTCGTTCAACATAAGTTTTATCATTGGTTCCTAGAATCCTTAAATAAGGTAAACTTCTTCATGGTGCATATTTTTGATGATGAGGATAACCACCATCTACTATATCTGTTTTATGAAAAGCCTAAAAAACTAAGCTGCAAAAAATAAAATTTTAATTTCCAAAAAGTGCTGCGATGTCACAATTATGGCCGATTGACCCTTTTTTTATTGGACTTTTTTAAAATCTATGCCTACGATGTAATAAAGTATCATAATGCTGACGCAATGTGATTTGATTTTGCTTAATAGCAATAACACAAAACATTATTTTCTTAATTTTATTGTTATTGGCAGTCGTTTGTAACAGCAGTAATTACAACAATCTTGCTTCTAATCAAAACCATGAACCTTAATAGCAGTAAATGCCATATTTAAAATTCTTTCAGAACAGAGTGCTTTGTTCTCACATTCCCTGCACTGTTTTGGAGTTTTTGTTTTGTTTAATTGCATGTATATGTCTATACTGGGTTTATTTTTTTATCTGGAAATCTATTTTCTATGCTTCTGTTCTCCAATCGTTTTTTTTCCCCCCTATATGGTCTCGAGAGATTTTATGCAGTTAGGTGTGTGAGCTGCTTTATGCAGATATTGGTTTTATACAAATTTACATACAAATAGAAAACTCTGACAACTGCTACAATGATTCTTTAAAGCTTTTTTTTTCACCTATCCAATTTGAAATATGATGCTTTTGCCCCCCCCACCACCACCCCCTTTACTGTCCTGCATTGCCTTCTTCAACTGTCATATTCATATTTGCACAGCAGATTCAGTGTACCCTGTACTTCGGTACCTGAGTAAACCTCAAGGTTTAAAAGGGAAACCTGACCATCGAGTTCACACTGGGTGTGATATATATCCGTGTGTTTGTGGGCGTGTGTCTGTGTGTGTTGTTAATGCCATGTCCTGGTCTTTTTGTTACTCTAAGAGCGCTGACACACTTTTTTTCCCCCCTCTTAGTTTACACAAATGTTGGTCCCATAAGAGATGGCTGCTGGGAAATTATCAGGAGACGTCTGCAGCAGATAAGATGACACCAAAGCTTTGTTGTGTCAGTTTTGTTTTTTTAAGGATCGCATGAAGAGCATCTGAAAGGGTTCATTTTGGCATAAACGTCTTAATTTGTCACAGAAATGAAGGATCGAAGTAAGGGTTTATTCTAAAACTGGTAGGTCGGTTTCTGAGACTCTTTATCTTCACGTATCTTTCTTCTTCATTGGCAGCTATTCTGACCCTCTTTGCTGTGATTGTGCTCCTTCTAATCTTTTTCCTGACTTCATTTGACGAACAGGTGCAAAATGTTTTTGGTGAGTTGGTTTATTTGTATTCCTAAGTCTTAGAAGCTGAGCAATACTCAGTAACATCTAAATTATATAAACCTTATTTCAGGATTCAACAAAACAGAGTTAAAATTCAAAACAGGTAAGAAAAACTTCAGCTTTTGCTACTCACCTTGACTTCTAATAATTTTTAATTCCAATTTAGATTGCATTGAAAGAATGTCTGTATTTTATGTCTGATTTACATTTTAAGGCACAGCTAAAGCTGCTCCAAAGTGCAGGCTCTCCGCAGTCTGTCCCAAAGACCACTTTCCTTTTAAAATTTGGAGTGGAGCTGCTAATGTTGTTGGGCCAAAAATCTGTTTCAACGGTAAAAAGTATGTGTGTTGTTCAAACTTCCTATGCTGAGAGAGAAAAGCTGTGACCTGTCTGTGAAAATCAACTTTCGTCTGCATCTCAACAGCGTTATGAGTCACATTTTGAACAACGTGGGACCAGGACTGAACATTGTGGTGGTAAATGGTAAATATTGATCACAAACCTTAAACTCTGTACCCTGACACAGTTCATTTTCAAGCCTAAAGTAGTATCAGCTGAATAATGTAGGGCTTAAAGGTTTCTTTTTAAGAAGTATAGTGCTTCGCAAAAGTATTAACACCCTTTTCAGTGAGTTTTTGTCTTTGCTAGATTTTGAAATCTATAAACTGAGGTTTTTGCATTATATTCTTTACTAATTTGGTCAAATACTTGATAAATCCGTTCTAAACCATGGATATTGTTTAACTCTAATAATTTGCAGCCTCTTACTCTAACCATTCTCAAGCATTTCTCAAGCACATAGCTTTATTTCACTTCCCAACAACCGATTAGCGTCCTTTTTCCTGCTTTAAAAAGAGCATCTCCACAGATTGATGCTTCCCCCACCATGTCTCATGATAGGCGGTGGTGAGTTAAGGGTGATGTGAAGGTATCAATGTGTTTGGACTTTGTTGCAAAGAATACATTTCTATTCATACTATTTTTAACTCAGTTTAAAAACAGAATTCAGCTCAGGGATATATATATTTTTTTTACTGCAGCCTCCTAAGAGGTCAATAATGGATTGGTTTGTATTTGTTGTCAACTCAAAGAAGGAAAAGAAGTAATAAATTATCAATTGAATAGAATATCTCTCCAGTTTTTGTATCCTCTGCCCACACTAAGAAAACATCAGATTTATCCTCATTTTATGTCTTTACAGTAAATACGATTGCTGTTTTTCAGCCAATGTGGATGCCCACAAACAGTCCTTGCTTGACGGTTTGTTGACAGGTATTGATGAAGAATTTCTCAAGCCGGAGAGCAGAGTGAACCCCTCAAACACCAGTTCTGTCAATAGATTTTCTCATCTACACTGTGGATCTCTGCAGCTCGTCCAAAGTTACCATGGTCAACTTGTCTTCACTGATTCATGCTCTCCTTACCTGGCTATAAATCACTTGTATTTGCAATATAATAACAGTGGTAAATACAATTGTCTCAATACACTTTATGTAGTTTTCCCACCAGGGGAGGAGAGCATTGTGTCTGTGGACAATTCCATGGAGGTGAACCTGAACTTATTCTTGTCATTAGCACAGAGGAAATTGCAGTTGCAATTTAGGTAAAGAAAAAAATGCTATTTAAATTTTCTGGCAAAATTATATATCCCTACTAGCCTTTCAGGTCAGTTGGATGGCCGTGTCTTGGGTTTAAATACTGCTATACTCAACTCTGCCATATTCAAAGCTTTAAAAAAAATAAAAATAAAAAAAAATAAAAATAAAAAAAAAATATATATATATATATATCTATATTTGTTTTTTAACAAGCCAGGATTCATACTTATCCACAACGTTATCTCTGAACTGTCTGCTGTGTTCCTAGGTCTTCATGATGATGTTTGTTCACTTGTTCGATAAGCCAATAAAGACTTTAATAGCCTGATAGTGAAATTAAATCACATACAGGTTTACTCTCTTATCTAATATGTATGCATTACATTTAAAACCATTTAAGGGGCCTGAATACTTTTGCTCTGGCCTCCAGGTCTATCTATTACACTGTAGTTAATAAGCCAAAGGGAAAGGTCTGACTTAGACATCATTTGGTGCACATGCTGATTAGGTATGTGTATGTAAATTATTTAATTTGCAGAGACCCGGCACGTGTAGAACAGGCACTGAGATCGAGAACAGTAGGTGAAAATGAAAAGAATCAAGCTGTTGCAATACCCCAGCAAAATCCAGAGCTTAACTTGATTGAAATACTGTGGTGAGACATTTAAAAAGGCTGTGTGGAAACAAATGTGTACAAACTTTGATGAACTGAAGCTGTGCTGTGAAGGGAGACGACTGATGGAGTCAGACAGAAAATACCTACCTCAGCGATCAAGCTGTTTAATCATGTGGTGAAATTAGATGTCCCATGGCTTTATTCACAGTTTTATTCCCATGACTGTAAATAAAATACTAAAAAACTTGTTTTTTGTTTTGCCACCTATAGATGAGACTGGAGTTGTAGAAAGGTTTGACTATCTTAATATGATAAGTGGAAGTAAGTATCGATGACAATTTTTTATGAAAACCTAAAATGTTCAGCCTTCATAAAGCTCCTATTTTTTTTTCTTTTTTTCCACATTAGACTCAGCAGACATCCTGACGTATTTGGAGAAGATAAAGCCTGGAATGATTGTGCTGGTGGCCTCCTTTGATGATGCAGCAACAAAGTAAACCCGAATCAAAACTTTCCAACATTTAAAAACGATCTGGTGTCACAGAACAATGACCCTTTCTGCTCATTTGTTGCAGGATGACAGATGAAATAAGGCAGATGTTTGTCGATATGGGAAGCACTTTGATCCGCTCTGTTAAACACAGAGACAACTGGGTGTTTGCTGGAAGAGCAGGGATAAAAATCAAAAGCATCTTCGAGCAGGTCAGTGAACCCTGTCTGTGTCATTTTATCTGTGCATCAAAGATTCAGAAAATATACAAGAAGGCAAAGCACCGTCCACAAAACTAATTTTTCCCTCTTTTTCTCTGCTAGCGAGCTGAGAATGATGAGATAACAAATGTTTTCGATGGATGGCCAGAGATGGTGCAAGTGGGTGGCTGTTTCCCAATGACTAAGAGTGTCTAAAAATCCAATTTAATGGGGCGGGGCTTATTAATCTGCAACAGACTTAAAACTTTAGGAAATCTTTTGGGAAGGTGTTAGCCTAGTGGTTAAGGTATTGCTCTTGGATCCCAGAGGTTCTGAGTTCAAGCCCCACTCCCACGGCTGCCACTTTGGGCAAGACCCTTAATCCCCACACCTCTCCCCAGGCGCCTCACATTGGCACCCTACTGCTCCCCAAAGGTATGGGTTAAATGCAGAGAGTAAACTTTGTTGCTTTGTACTTCTGACAATTCTAATGATAATGAAGTTGAATTCTATTCAATTCTGTTCTTTTATTTTGCCCAATTAAACAAAACACTGTATGAATGTATGCTCACACTCACATATATAGGCCCATACAGTAAACAGCCATTCAGACACCTGGATAGATAAAAGACACCTGGATAATAACTAGTTACATTTATTCTTTTATATTAACTTAGGTAACATTTTGGAGATAATATGTTCATTGTTTAGCTTAACTGTACTGTACTTCTTATTTTTATGTGAGTAGGCCTAATATGCTTGTGAATTAACACTGCTGATTATGGAGGAAGATTAAACTATTTTTCCAAAGGCCATTTAAAAATGGAAATTTAAAAGAAAACAGATATTTCTTTCATTATAACAAAAAGATTTGATTTAGTCATTTTTATGCACTTTTTGGTTCTGTTTAAGTTTTTTGGGGGGGAGTTTATTGGCTTCATTTCCATTTTGTGTCATTCTAGTTGATTTCTGGTTTTATTTAGATGTATTTTTTTTTTGTATACCGTCTGTTGCCCCATTGTGTCAGTCTCCTTCCCCTAGCTCCCTTCTAGATCCTTCTGTCCACACCTGCTCCCTATCAGTTGATTACTCCAGTCTTTGTTCTGTTTGGCATACATACACTCACCGGCCACTTTATTAGGTACCCCATGCTAGTAACGGTTTGGACCCCCTTTTGCCTTCAGAACTGCCTCAATTCTTCGTGGCATAGATTCAACAAGGTGCTGGAAGCATTCCTCAGGGAGTTTGGTCCATATTGACATGATGGCATCACACAGTTGCCGCAGATTTGTTGGCTGCACATCCATGATGCGAATCTCCCGTTCCACCACATCCCAAAGATGCTCTATTGGATTGAGATCTGGTGACTGTGGAGGCCATTTGAGTACAGTGCACTCATTGTCATGTTCAAGAAACCAGTCTGAGATGATTCCAGCTTTATGACATGGCGCATTATCCTGCTGAAAGTAGCCATCAGAAGTTGGGTACATTGTGGTCATAAAGGGATGGACATGGTCAGCAACAATACTCAGGTAGGCTGTGGCGTTGCAACGATGCTCAATTGGTACCAAGGGGCCCAAAGAGTGCCAAGAAAATATTCCCCACACCATGACACCACCACCACCAGCCTGAACCATTGATACAAGGCAGGATGGATCCATGCTTTCATGTTGTAGACGCCAAATTCTGACCCTACCATCTGAATGTCGCAGCAGAAATCGAGACTCATCAGACCAGGCAACGTTTTTCCAATCTTCTATTGTCCAATTTCGATGAGCTTGTGCAAATTGTAGCCTCAGTTTCCTGTTCTTAGCTGAAAGAAGTGGCACCTGGTGTGGTCTTCTGCTGCTGTAGCCCATCTGCCTCAAAGTTCGATGTACTGTGCGTTCCGAGATGCTCTTGTGCCCACCTTGGTTGTAACGGGTGGTTATTTGAGTCACTGTTGCCCTTCTATCAGCTTGAACCAGTCTGGCCATTCTCCTCTGACCTCTGGCATCAACAAGGCATTTCCGCTCACAGAACTGCCGCTCACTGGATGTTTTTTCTTTTTCGGACCATTCTCTGTAAACCCTAGAGATGGTTGTGCGTGAAAATCCCAGTAGATCAGCAGTTTCTGAAATACTCAGACCAGCCCTTCTAGCACCAACAATCATGCCACGTTCAAAGTCACTCAAATCACCTTTCTTCCCCATACTGATGCTTGGTTTGAACTGCAGGAGATTGTCTTGACCATGTCTACATGCCTAAATGCACTGAGTTACCGCCATGTGATTGGCTGCTTAGAAATTAAGTGTTAACGAGCAATTGGACAGGTGTACCTAATAAAGTGGCCGGTGAGTGTACTCCTCCTCTCCAGTTACTGTTTGTCGGACTTTCTTTATTTCTGAATTCCCTCCTTAAAACATGTTTTCCCCTTTGTTCTGGTTCAAGCATTCCTTGTTAAGTTATTTTTTGGATTAATACTTCACTTTCCACGATTGGTTATTAAATCTGCAAGAAACCACCTGAGCTTCCATCTCTGCGTTTGGGTCCTCTAAAAACCTACATGCAACCTGACAGATTTAAAGAAAATAATTTGATAGACAAAAATCTTCCAGGTCATAAATAATTGTTGGTTATGTATATAAGTTGTTTTATTTTAGAAGTCCAACCCAATTTGAGTTCTGGAAACCTTTTTACTACATATAAGTTTTAAACAAATTAAATAAATAAAAACTCATGCATGTTCACATATAGAAAAACATGAAGATAAATATTAGCAAATGTAATGTAATCATTTCATAGTATCTAGAATTAAGGGCAAGTTGTTTTAACCCCCTTAAAAAAAAAAAAAAAACCTTATAAAAGAGTTGGTAGTTTTATCCGAAAAAGACAAAAAACAGGTGTGATGTGGATGGTGAAAACCCTCTCAGAAGGCTTAAGAACAGCTTCAGGCTGACCCCAGGCTGTTTGCATTTGTCTTTCTGTCTCAGGCAGACAATGAATGAGCAGTGGCAGTGTGTAGAGGGGATAACAGGAAAACTGTAATGAGCAAAGGCCAAAGGAGACATCACCACTGTAGCAGCTGCACAGCAGTCTGAAATTAATGTTATTTTTCTTTAATGAGCAAGTCTTTCTGAAATGAGGCAGAAATGGATCTCTTTGGGAATAAAGTGCATCAGTTTGTTTAGAGTCAACAAAATGAAGTCTATGGAGAAAAGAGTTGTCTGTCTTTTGGTCCTTGATTTTTCTTCAACTGATTTTTTTTTTTTTTATAGAGCCTCTGAGTCTCACTTTGATCTCTATGACTCTTCGTGACTTTGAACATTTATCTAGATGATCATATTTTGGCTTCTTTGAAGACAAATATCTCTTTGAGTAAATTTTTTACACTTTGAAACTGTTTGAGATTTCTCACCAAGAATGTTTGAAGGACCGGTTTGAAGTTTGGGCAATGCCATTCAGCTTTTGTGCTTATGAGACGTTGAAACATCTTTAAAAAAAAACAACTAAGACAGACTTGCTTGCCCCTTTAATATACAAAATGGATCAAAACTAAATTTCTCTACAGAATTCAGATTTTGTAGAAGTCCAATAGTTCTGTATTTAACTGTTTTTGTTTTTGTTTTGGAGTGCTGCTTCTGAGGGACTATCATAATTGGTTGAAAAGGTTTCCCTTTATCTCTTTGCTTGGCAACTGGAGAGGAGAAACAATAGACTCGAGTTATTGTAGAAACTCTCTCAACCTGCTGATGCAAGCAACTGAAACAAGGTTAGAATAGAATCAAATATATCTGTTTTTTATTTATCGATGTGTTAAAAAATTTACGAAATTCTATTAGAAGGTATCAGGGTTCATCCTGAAACTTGGAACAGAGTCACCTCCCAACTAGTTCTTCTCTTTAGAAAGCTATCGGGACTTCCTCCCGGGAGAAGATCCCACAGCAGACACAAACCTCCTGCGATGGTTTATTCCCCTTCTGGCCCAGGAATCAGCAGGATCTCCCCAGAGTACTGGGGTGTCTCGGTTTCCCCACCTGGACCTGTCGCCTCTGTGACCTGACCTTGAATAAGCAGACAAAGATGAATGGCTAAAGTGACTCTCTCCACCCTGAGCCCCAGCAGGTCTCTGACCAGTCACTGAATTCCTGATTCATGCTGGGAACGTGGCAGTGACCCTTAGTACTAAGGTGAGTTTCCTCCTGTCTGCCTCATGAAACACACTATGTGATTCATTCCTCAACAACATTAGGATAACCAAGCAGATCCCATGTGACAAAACACCTCTTTATAAGATATTTAATAATGCTTTAGATTTATCTGACATCTTTCTGTTTTTTTCTCTCTACCTTTCACATATTTACCCAAAGGAAGTGAACAAGCGGACCAAAAAATAGGTCTTAATCCAGCTGAAAATAAGTTTTCTGAACAGTGTGTCTCAGAGACTGTTTATGCTGTCATGTCCTATTAATTCCTCTCAGCACAATATCCTCTGTGTGAGCCTGGCCAAGCAGCAGGACTCCCCCCTTCATCAACCAAACAGCTGCTGGCACTGATGCCACCATTAAAGACCTTCCTGTTCCTTTATAGATTCTTTTCCTATTTAGATCATTTGCTCCAGTCTTGTGAAATCCAACTAACGATGTAAAATAGACTCTATGGAGCGTTTATGACTGTAGAAAAACGTAGAGAAGGAGACTATTTTCTCCACTGTGTAACTCATTTTGAAAGAAGGTTACTGTTTATATAGAGCCGTTTATCACAACGTTTCATCATGCCTTGCTTTAATAGCCCTCTGGAAGTGTTTGGGAACTGAGGGAGACAAACTTTTGCTGTTGTGAAAGTTAAATATTTTCTTTTAATTAGTTGATGATGGATCTCAGCTGCCCAGCAGTTCAGCACCTTCTCTGATGCTTTGTTCAGTTTGTTTTTATTGAACAAATGAGCTCCACAGTCATGAATATGTAACACCTAAACTGCTTGTCTGTGAAGCTGTTTTCTTGCAAATTGGGACTTCGAAACTTTAAAGCCAAAATCTAGCCATATGCTTGTAGGGTATGGTTCATTAAAAAGTATTCATACTGGTTTTGTTAAAATAGGGAACAGATGCAGAGTGAGCTGAACACAATGTGAAGGTTTGGTAGACTGGTGACAGAAAGTTTAAAAGGAAATAGCTTATATTCGATAATAGTAAGTGGTAAACCATATTTAGTGGCATCTTTCAAAGTGAAAAATAAAGAGTGAGTATTAGAATTTATACACCATAAAAAATACAAAGAAAAAAAGATGAGCAAATAAAAACACATTCTTTGCACTTTGGTTTTTTGGTGTTTTGTTGGTTTTTCAGCAGATTTTCATGTTTTTATTTAAAATATGCTCCATATATGAATAGAAATGTAAAGCTTAGGAAAAAAATAGTGGTCTTATTTCTTAAATAAAAAACTAAACATTTCATCAATGGTCATGAACACTTTCTACACGCAAAATAATAATTTAAGATTTTCTTAGAAAAATCTTAAGTCCTGTGGGATTTCCAGGTCTGGGCTTTCTGCAGACATTTGGAAACCTCAAATGTAGGTGATGGTGAATAATGTAGTATTCTCAGCTGGCAGCAATAGTAAAAGGTGTGAACAGAGGAAGTTCCAGACAGAAATTGTGGAAATGTATTGCTTCTTTGGTGGAAGAGCCTTGGATGTCTTTGCCCTGTCCCCCATTCATTCTCCCAACCTCTGCAGATTCACACAATCCCAGAAACGACCTCTCATCTTTATTCGAATAGGTTTGTAGGCTTTAAAAGAGATGGCATGGAAACCTTAGGCCTATGGGTCTAAGTTTGTGGACCAGATGTAAGATAGTACTTCCCATTTATAAAGATATTTGCATTTGTTAATATAATTCTACAGATATCCAATAATTATTCCATATCCAATGAT